TATACAACCTAACATGCAGAGGGCCTAGGTCAGTTCCATGCATGCTCTTTGGTTGGCGATTCAGTCTCTGTGAGCCCCTATGAGTCCAAGAGTTGATTCTGTGGGTTTTCTTGTGGTGTCCTTAGCCCCTCTGGCTCTCATAATTCTTTCCCCCTTCTTCTTCCACAGGGTTCCCTGAGGTCCACCTAGTGTTTGGCTGTGGGTCTCTGCATCTGTTTCCGTCAGTTGCTGGGTGAAGCCTCTCTGCTGACAATGGGGCTAGGCACCAATCTATGAGTATAGCAGAAATATTATTAGGAATAATTGTATTGATTTTTGTTGTTGCCAGTCACGTTTGGTTCTACCCTAGGTCTCTGGGCTGTCCAGCCTCTGGGTCCTGGCCCTCCAGGCAGTGTTGAGGGTGGGTTCACTCTCATGGTATGGGTCTCAAGCTGGGCCAATCATTGGTTGTTCACTCCCACAATTTCTGTGCTGTATTTAATCTAGCATATCTTGTAGGCAGGTCAAATTATAGGGCAAAGGTTATGTGGCTGGGTTGTGGTCCCAGTCTGTTCCCTGGAAGACTTGCCTGGTTATGGGGGAAGACCAGTTCAGGCTCCCTATTTCCCATTGCTAGAAGTCTTAGCTAGGGTCACCCTCATAGATTCCTGGGAGTTTTCATTGCTCTAGGTTTCTAGCTCACCCCAGAGATGCCCCCTGATTTCAGTTGTCTTTCACAGTACTGTCTCCCTTCATCCTCCCCCGACCTGATCTCTCCTGTTTCCATGCCAACCCCCCAATACAGATCTTTCCCCACATCCACCTGTGATGTCTATTCTCTGTCCCCTTCACAGTGAGATCCATATGTCCCCCTTGAGCCCTCCTTGTCACTTAGCTTCTTTGGTCTGTGGATTGTAGCATGGTTATCCTTTACTTTATGGCTAATATCCACCTGTAAGTGAGGACATACCATGTTTGCCTTTCTGGGTCTGGGTTACCTCACTCAGGATGATCTTTTCTAGTTTCGCCCATTTGCTGGCAAATTTCATGATGTCATTGTTACTAACAGTTGAGTAGTACTCCATTGTGCATATGTACCATGTTTTCTTTATCCATTCTTTGGTTAGTGGACAACCGAAGGTTGTTTTCAGTTCTGGCAATTACGAATAAAGCTGATATGAACATAGCTGAGCAAGTGTCCTTGTGGTATAGTGGAATTTCCTTTGGGTATATGCCCAGGAGTAGTATAGCTGGGTCTTGAGGTAGATTGATTCTCAATTTTCTGAGAAAACACCATACTGATTTCCAAAGTGA